AGACGATGTATTTCCAGCACTCACCGCTCACACAGGCTCCTCCTCACATCACAAGTCTGCACTAATGAATGTCCTTTTAATCCAGACTCAAACCGATTGTCCGAAAAATAATATAATCTCAGTGTTGCGCACCACTGCGGGTGTAAACAAACACACGCGAGTGAAGTGACGTCACTCTGGTGGTGTGTTCAGGGACAGTACGGACACAGACACAGACAAATTACACCGTAGATCAATACTGATGCGGAGCCACATATTAGGACATTTATCTGTCTGTAAATTGGATTAAATGAACATAATGTAGAGAGTCTAAGATTTATAACGAGGTATAACATACCCACGTGAAATATCGGCCCATATCAGCAAGTCTCCAGGTGCCCATATTGGCCGATAATATCGGCCAGCCTATATCGGCCAGCCGATATATCGGTCGGGCTCTATTATGTAGGTTTAACTCATGTTATGTTGAAACATTCAAAATACTTTGTATTTTATACTTGAGATGACAGTTCAGAATGTTTTGGTAGAATTTTCCTTTTAATTGTCAAATTGCAGATGTTTTGTTAATTTTAATGTAAACATTTCAATAACTGCAGTCCTGTTTATTAACATCTATTTCACATCTTAAGTGAGACAGTTTCTTCCCTATAGTATCAAAAAGCAGTACCATTAATCATACAGGCATGCTTGGCATTGAAAGAATGAATATAAGAAAAAAGCTAATATACCAAGCTCGAGGATTCAAAATGTGTGTCAGCTTATGTCTTTATGAAGATTTCACAAAAAATTTGCAGTAGACTACTGTACCTCGGTCATGGTGGTGCCAGCCCCCTGTATAAAAGTCCTGCAGGACCTGAGGAGAGCTCCAGGTCTCCAGGAGGTAGTCCACTTGGTGCTGCTTCCTCCAGGTCAGAGACTGACATAGAATTTCCCGTGCTTTGTCAATATTAAAGTCCCGTGCTCGCAAGAAACGAAGAATGTGCTCATCTTTGGGAATCTAGATACAGATAAAAGTATTGTCATTGTACAGTTGAGTTCAATCATAATGACGATCACAGTTATAAACTTTAAAGACCCTGTATGAACTTGATTGAATTAAGATGAAAATCACCTTTCCCTTGTGCGTTTCTTGCAGCCATTTCCGAAGTCTGATGAGACAGCTCTCCTGCAGCGGTGTGAGGTCACCTAGGTAACGTTTGATGTAATCTGCATCCAATTTATCTGCAACACAAACAACAACAACATTAATCTCTGAACTCTGAGAAGATGATTCAATTTAAGCAGCAGAGCAGGGGCGGAGCCTGGGGTGGCCAAGATGGCCAAAATCAACTCAGTGTCACAGATAAAGCAAAGGGAAGACACTAGTTACTATACTATTAGTATTATTATTAGTGCTGTCATGCGATTAAAAAAATTGAGAGATTAATTAATTATGATCTGTAATTAATTAATCTAATTAATCTAATTTTAATCTCACCTAAAAATTGCTGAGAAAAGCGTTCAATTTGAGGTATTTTCATTTAAATTCATTATTACATTATTGTGGCAGATCAAAAGACTAATATAGATTTAAAAAAGTGACTTTATAAAGTCATTTATTGTTTAACAAATCTCTCCAAATTGGCTGTTGAGCCCAAGTCTCCATGAATAAGAAACTATTTGCTGTAAAGTAGCAAAAACGAGGAAAGCGCGGTTTACGCAGCGTAGCGAGAAAACACGATCCACACGCGGCTCACGGCAGCACGTCGGTGTCCGCGCAGTGTCTACGGAAGGAAACGTGGTCCGTGCGTTCTCAGGTTAATGACGATGATGTGTGTGTTTGTGTTTGTGTTTGTGTGTGTTTGTGTGCGTGTCCCCTCATGTGGCAGGTCACTATAGGACAGTAGTGCAGACATCATGAGTCTATGCAGGTTGTTTTCACCAGTGACATTTAAGTTGTAGGCGATATTATATTTGTTATTTTCTTTTATATTTCACGTCGGGAGAATAATTTCCAAGACACGAATGCGTTTTTACCTGTGCACTGCTGACTCTGTTCTACTGGCTGTTCGACCTCGTCCATTGTGCGACTGACGCCGTAAACGTCGCTCTTACTGCGCGTGTTTTGTGTGGGTTTCCGACAATGAGTGGAATTACCGAAATTTAAAAAATTATAAATGTGTTTTTTGTTTGTGCGTGTGTGTGTGTTGTTGTCCCAACAACACAGAAAAACAGGTTTTATAATAAAGCAACTCACATACAGAAACACTAAAGTTAGAGATTAAAAATGAGATTAACGCGATTAAAAAACATAACACGCTAAATATGACTGTAATTAATTAATCGCAATTAACGCGATAATTTGACACCCCTAATTATTATATTAGATTATTATGATTTATGACACATTTAGGTACAGTCTCCTACTGTCCATATATTGCATTCTTTACTACACAATACATTGATACATTCAAGAATGCAGGAAATGTCATGTGTTTGGGTAACAGATGTTTACCTATATTTACTCCCAAGCATTTTGATAAACTGAAAAAATTCCAGCTCTGCACATTCATGACCTATATGACTGTTAACACTTGGGTTACATTATTTTACGAACTTTCATTTTTAAGAACAGTTTAGGCTTAGACCTTCGGGAGTTCCAGCCAGCATCTCCAATAGGCTCTCAGTCTGAAGCACCAGGCTCATTTCCTGTTTGGTTTCTCCGCAGGCTCCGTCCTTGGTATCAGCAGCCGTGGGGGTGAGGACCGTGGGGGACATTGGGAGGGCAGGCAGGGCACAGGGGGTGGTGGACAGACTAGTCGGTCTCTGCAGAGCTGTTGTCTGAGAGGAGGGTGACCAGCGCGTCACATGTGTAATGCCCTCATCTTCAAGCTCCTTCAGGTAGAACTCAATGATCTCTTTTCCCTAGAAGAGGTAAGAAAAGTATTAATCACTGCTTGTTTTTCCATCAATAAGTAGATGTTAATTTTATATTTTTACTTCTATACAAACCTAAAAGATTTGTCCCCTTTTTGCCACTATTAAATTTAGTTTTATTACCATTAAATATGATGTTTTCAAAAACTATTCTTTTCGAGTCAAAAGACTCGAAGTCAGTCAGTCAGCTTTGTAAAAGCTGAAGTCTTAACACAGTCGTTTCAAGTTTCAGCTTTTTTATTGTTAATAGAATATATTTTTTTATTCTTCTTCCTCTTTAGAATGGTCCTTAAATTGTCCTTAAATTTAACAAATGCATAAATTAAAAGGTACATTTATTCCATCTAGAAGATTCTGCATTTACATAATGCTATCGAGGTGATCAGTTCTGTTCAAGCTACATGGCAGCCAGTGAGTCAGTGTTCACACCAAGTGACCACTGCCCACATACAGTGATTATACAAGTCTATTTAAATCATTACAGCCCCAGAAAAACTGAGTCACTCGTCACAAACCCCTTTGACAGTCCCACCACTCATTTCTCACAACATAATGTCCACTTCACTCTCCAGACACTTACAAAACACTCTATAACTGTTAGTAGCCAATGACAGCCAAAGAGGAGAAAAGAAAAACTGAGATATGAAATGTTAAGTTGACACCTTTTTGATGCTGCCGGCGTACTGCTTCATAGCGATCTTCTCCACAGTGCTCTCAAATCCAAAAAAAGACTTGATGTCCAGGCTGGCAGTCTGCTCAAAGCAAGTCCAGTCTTCATTCTCAGGATGAACCTGTAAATATATCATAAATATGCCAATTATATATTAAGGAAGAGCAGTATATTGCAAAATGATTACACAAACAGACAACACACACAAATAAAATGTTGAAAATGTTAATTTTACGTAATCAATCTGAATCCAGTAAATTACATAGTAGTAGTCTGTATATCAAATTATCAGTCTTGTACAGTTTACATTCTCAGAGCTATTGTCATGTGGGTAAGCAAAATATATATTTATCAAATACTGTACCAAAAGTCTGATGGTGCAAACAGCTGGAAAGTCTTTAGAGGTCAAAAACATCAAAAGGAGGCTCCACAAAACATTTAAAAATAGTTCAAGAGATTAAAATACCCATGTTTTAGTGTGGGATCTAAGCACTATGGTGTCCATCCATAGTAGTGCACATGTTCTACATAAAAAGAATAAGATGTCCGAGTTACTATGGAAACCACATATTGGGCCTCATCAAAGCGTGACGCACACACACCATGATTGCAGAGTGTGGGAGGCCATGTGTCAGCCTGGCCATTAGAATACTACACAACCATAGGGCTTACGCATGTTCTTTTACACATTTGGACATTTGCATTTAATATGAGCTAATTGCCTCCTTCGAGCACAGGGCTGGTTGCTTCATTAGCCATGACTACCCAAGTATCTGAGCTTTAGCCAGTCCATTAGCTCAGTTTAATTGCACTGTCCACTCCATTTATGTTTGCACTGTATAAGTCTATGAAGGAGAAGAACGCAGTGTCCAGATACTAAAATTAGCATGGTTAGAGGGTACAGCAATGTGCCTGGTCTCATTTAATCAAGGTGCATTCATCCATGCGGGGTTGAACATGGAGTGGTGGTACAAAGATGTAGAAAGGGCATGTTAACTGGATAAGAGCAATTAGCAGACAGGTTAGCTCAAACTGAGACACAAAGGCTAGCCTCAGGGAAAAGGAATTCTGGCCCGCAATACCGAGATATGGAGTCAGCAGATTCATATATGCTAAGTGTTTGCAATTTAGTTTAGCAATTAATTTTCCAATTTGTCTAATAGTCACATGGTTATTGTAAATTGAGTTTTTTTAAATGCATTAAAATCAAGAACATTTATTCTGACTGAAGGCTTCAGGCAACATTTATAAATATTACTTTAAAAACAACAACGTGTTCCTCAAGTTTGATTTAACATATTACTGTTGTTTATTCTTTCCTTTTATGATTTCTTTAAATTTTTGGGTCAAGATTAAGGAATTGTCAAGCTAGGGACTGGCTGTTTTATTTAACACTTTTGTAGTGGCACATTACCTAGGTATAAATTATTTTTACAAATACTGACAAATATTATGGTTAGACAAGTGTTAGTTCTGACCGAGTAGCAGCAGGTCTCGTGGATGATAACTCTGTTGGAGAAGGTTTCATTGTGTGACTCGATGTGTAGCGTCCTCTCTTTACGGTTCAGGGTGTTTCTCTGGATGAAGTAAACGTAGTCCACACCGGCAATCTGTAACATAAATAATAAAATGTTTGAGATAAGATAAATTGAACTGTTACATTTTTAAGCCTCATCCAAATTATAAGTAGTGGAAGTAATGGGAATCTTTTAGATTTTAGTTTGATTTCTCTTTGGATCTCAAAAATCCATGCCCCCACTGTATGTGCAAGTAAAGGATAATCTAAGAAGTTCATTCATACATATAACCATATAGCTATCAGAGTGGTCTTGATAATTATGGAGTGGTTATTGCTTCCACTACACAGCTTAACAACTTTTAAACAATCTGCCATTGTATTAGCCACGTAAGGCGTCTGCACATCTTTCAGCAGGTACATTACCTTAAGTTACACAACCCAAATTTCTTAAATTATGCATTTTTCTAACCTTTGACATCGAGCACTGACATACCCTTTTGAGGAGACGGGGGGCATCCACATCCAGAGCACAGCGGCGTTCAATCTTGTGGGTGCTGCCATCTTCACTGGTCTCTTCGCTGACCACATCACTGGCCACAAACATGGGGATAAGGTGACATGTGGGGAAGCGGCGCTCGTAGGCCTAAGAGAGAGAAAGAATATGAAATTATGAGAAAACATCTAGAAATACATTTACATTTTTAGTTGGACTAAAAGGTTGAAAAATTAAAGACAAAACATTGTGACACAAATATTGCATGTTGGATGGATAAGATAACCATATTTCCTTTTAATACAGAAATTCAACACACTTATATTTAATGGTATTATTGGAAAATACACTAACACTATTCAGACTTAGGACTTACCCTAACCCTGATTCCTAACACTGACTCCTAACCCTAACACCTTAACTAAGTAATCCTGAATTATTCATTGTTCATACTTTTTAAAAAGGTATTAATGTGGTAGTAAAAATATAAACATCTGAAACTGCAGAATATCTTCTTGCTTAACCATTTTTTGATTCCTTTTTCATTTCTTCAACAGCAGATTATGCATTAGCCTAATGTACCTCCATCACAGTAGTCAACAGAAAATGAATTTAAACAGGCAAAACAAAAGCCACTTCAGCTCCTCTCAAGCCAATTCCACGCAGGCGAGAATGGCTCTTGACCAGTTTTAGCACTTGACCACAAAAGGGCTTAACACAAGTGCGACCGGTGGCCAGGGGCAACAGCATTTCACTAAACTGTTCTTTAAGACAGGGGGCAATGCTGCTTTCAACCAGACACGGTTATGTAACTCATCCTTCAATGCAAAAGAATGAAAAAGCAACAAAAATGTTACTTTATTTTGGTTTCATAACATGTCCCTGTATCAGACAAGAAATCCACTGGTATGTCAACAACAACTGGCCTTCAAAAGATAAGTTCATGTAAAATCAACAAACTACTCAGGAAAAATGGTAACACAATCTAGCAGAATAAAACTGCAGCTGCAAGGCACAGTGTTTCCTATTGCAAGATAAACAAATGTATTATTTCTATAAAAATAATGGCAATTAACACTTAGACCATAGACTCTTAATATATTTTAGGCTGAATGGATGATGATGAGAATATACATCATTCATAGAAACAGATTTAAAGCAGAGAGAATGTCTAAGTAGGTGCATATGTGCATTTGCAAGAGTCAGATGAAGAAGAACTATAGGCAACCCATGCCTACAGAAAGCACAAGAGCCGGAGGTGAACTTGCAAAGAAAACAGGGACTGAAGTGCGTGATGCTCACAAGACATTCAGGGTCGGACTCAGAGAGACATCAGCTGAGAAGTGCTGATAAAAGAGCTGTGTTCTGTGGAGCGTGGGACCAGCCATATGGTTCAAAGTTTCTCTAATAACTTCAAACAATCTGCTCTGCAACTTCACTTTAAACAGCTGACAAGGACTTAAGCCATGTTAACTTATGTGTAGACCACACAAATAATTTTTTCTTGGATAATGAATAAAACCAGGAGTTGTTAAAAAAAAAAAAAAAATCACAACAAACTAGCTAACTTTGGAGTGCAGAGAAGTATGATGGAGCTTTTGAATAATAGCCTGATCTATTTATTACACAGCAATTAAATGGACTAAAAGATCAGGTTCAGTCAGCCCCAGGGCAGTTGTGGGTATGGCCATAGCCATGACGTCAATGCAAAGTATGCAGAAATTAAGATTTCAACTTCATTAAGTCTCAACATTATAACCCAATTTGAGTTGATGCAATTATCAAATAGGTGGTCCTCTGTAAATGACAAAGTATCTTATCTTTTACAGGAAAATGTAGCTGTGTTTTAAACCTCCAGCATCATTGTGAAATGCATTCTTGTATTTGTTCATCAGTTCATATTTCAGTCTTATCACAAATGTTAATGTTAAAAAGCACACTGAAAAGAATCCTTCCTTTAAAACATATGGCAATATAAATGTAATGTCAATACATGGTCAATTTATTCAAGCCTTGAACCAGCAAAAATACACTGGTAGTTGGTTAGTAGGTGACTTGTTAATAATTGTGTTTGAATGGTTAGTTCATCGCACAGCATATTTTATGAGTAGGCAATATGTAGACAATAGAATTAATGCTGAATCACTTCTGTGCACTGTCCCAGAAAACGCTGAGTCCTGTTTTCCAGTATGATCCAACACAGGTTCTGCACTGCGGTCATCACAAAAGCTCCAACTGTAAACATCATTCACTCATTAAAAACAACCAGGCACCAAAAGCTAAGCTTATCCAAAGAGGAGCTGCTGAAAACATTACGTACCCTCAAAAACAAAGAGTGCATTAACAGTGCAAAAACATTGGTCTTACTGTACATGTAACAGAAAATCACTTGGAGCTGTGTATGGTTAAAAATATCACAAAGCATAACAAATAGATTCACCTGCCTATTGTGTGCTCAGAATAGCTCTACCCATTTCAGAACTAAAAACAGGAAAACAAGGGCAGGTCAGTTTCAAAGGGAAGTAACTGGGAAAGCACCATTAGACTACAGTAGGGATATTTTAAAACACAGTAAAGGATAAATATAAATGGACAGGATTTTTTTCCCCAGATCAAAAAACAGATTTAGCCCCATTCAAGAAACTTCATCAGCCACGATTGCTTTATGATGTGTCAACAAGACAATCACTGAAGTTTGATATTAGTATTTGCAAATGAAAATAGAGGTACACGAGAATAAGCATTCGGTAGACCATAGTTGTGTAGACACTTGCAATGGAAAAAGGGACATGAACTCAGATTTGGGTCTGCTAGTTCAGGGGTAAATGCTGTAACCCCTGAGATTTGCACACAGTAACAATCACATTTGTGAATAATTTTGACTTGACCAAAAGCTAACTTGTATTTGACTTAAAATACATACAAATACATAAAAAAATACAAACAACATAACTGAACAGTTTAATATTAATATATATATATATAAATAAACTAAAAGATCAATATTTAATTTAGAAAACAGTCCTCTTTGTACTGTTGTACTGAGAGCTTCATTATCATCTCAGGCATTTTACGTCACAGCCACAGTCACTATTTAGAATCCATTGTTTAACCTCTGGTGAGAGATAATATATTTACCTTCTTAAGGAGTCACACCATATTAGTCATTTGTGCAATTATTTGTGTATTTGTTTGTACCTATACAACTCATTTCACTCTTGAAAATCATCAAAATCATATTATATAACAAAGACAATGCTTGATTTATGTTATATACTTAAAATGGTATTTACAAATTCTCATGTGGCAGTCAAATTAGTCACACTTAGAAGCCATTAACCACACGGTAGCCCAAACAATACAGTGTACACAACCCCGCCACTGCAAACAGACCTAGAAGTGCCCTTCACTTATTGGAATAGACAGAGTAAACTAAAGCTCCCTGCCGAGCCTTCAGGACATCTCCATGGCGACAGGTTACGTTTGTGCAGCATACCCCAAATGGCCAAGCTATGAGTAATTGTTTCTGGGTAAACTTTTAATGGGACACAAGAGGAAAATATGAAAACAATAGGCTGTTACTTAATGGCTTCCTGAATCCCACAAAACATTTTCCTATTTTAGCAAACAAACTATGCAGAGTGCGTGCAAGGAAAAACAATATCTGGGCTATGAAGGATTTAACGGCTTTGTAAGGGACACTTGATCCACAGAGCAGTTGAATAGGGCACAAGAACTGGGTGAAAACAAAGTGTTCCCGTTGGAGGCGGTGAGGTCGCTGGCAGTTCTGAAAGCAAGCGATTTTCCCATTCAGATCATGTCACTGCTTGTTGCATGGGCTGGTTCTGAGTACAGAGGTGGCAAGCCTGCAGTGTTTAGCAATGCAATACCATAATATTATTGATGATTGCACTGAAATTAGGTAACCATGCAATCAGGAAGGAGGAGATTCTGAATATTTATTTTACTGCATGACTCGTGGGAATTGTTTTATGTGCGAAAATAAAACATTTCACTGAGCTCATCTTTTGACAACATATTTTCATAAACGCCAAAATAACTTCCAGGTTTTACCATGACATCTTTTCATGATGTTGATTAGAACTTAAATCCTATTGTTTTGCCTTCAATAGTTGTACATTTTTGCTTATTATATTATTTTCTTTTCATTTTAAAAGTGCAGTATATGTAAATATTTTTGTCTCTATGGAGAAAAGTTCTACAGTATGGCAATAAATTATTTCTATAGAGACAAACATATATAGGAGTTTGGTTTTAAAGATATTTTTGAGCAACAAAAACACATTTAATTGAATAAATGATCATTTAATAATGCCATACTGGGGAACATTCCAGGTAAAGCAATAACATATCCATGGAGACAAGCATGTATGGCTTATTTCTACTTATGAAATCAGAAGGCCTTTCTACAAATCAAACTTCAAGGACACATTTGCAAAGCATTTTTCTTTTGTTGTACTACAGCACCATTGACCTTGTAACTTCTGTACATTCAATGGCCGATTCAATGACTGGATCTTGGTGCTGAAGGCTGCTGAGAAAGGGCCCATGCTCAGTAACAATAACACATCTCTGGAGCTTATGAAAACCGTTGTGTAATAAAGATGACAGACGCACAGGGGTCAGTGTCTGCTATTTTTATCATCTGGATTTTCTGGCAGCTGGGGGCCACGCTGGACTTTAAGATTAAGACAAACATATTGGACAGTGTCACAGTAGGATACATATTGAATATTGCAATTGTTCTGTTAGATATAGAAAATTTGAATGTTGAATATATTGTCATTATATTGTATTTTGTCAGACTGGTTTAGCTAGGTTTTTCCATGCAACACATACAGGAATGTCACTGTTCGTTTTGTCAGTTTCATATTGAATACAATACAATACATTAACATGATATTGTTTTATGGGGAAACAGTTGCTCAGGTGGAAGAACAATCATTGTATTATTGATGTGTCCTTGGGTAAAGCACTTCCCTATACTTGCCTGTTTTAATGTCTACAAGGATCACTTTTTTGGTTTGTGGTAGTCTGAGAAGTTACGGTGCAGTTTGGCAGCCAGTTTTTGTCTGTCATTCTCAGGGCAGCTATGGTTTCCACAGTAGCTTATCAGTAGGGGTG